GAGTTGCCAAAATGAATGAATGTGCACGACGACATGGATAGTCTAATGAACGCAAAATCGTCCCCTCCATTTCATTTGTTCAAATCGCTTTGAACATAAAACATAAATGTTTTGATTTACACTTACCTGGACTATTAATGATATTAATATTTCAGATGGTTAGACAAGCTCGGGGTTGCTTCAAGGATGGGACTTAAAGGGGTTTTGAGACAATCGTACTATGGACAAAATTATTCTCTGATCGAACCTCACACGTTTGAACCTTATCCGGTAGGTACAAATATGATATCATCTTGTTCCATTAGGATTGACTAAAACTCATCTTTGCAAAATACGGTAATACAGTAAGAAATACGTTGTCAGTTTACCGAATGTCTCTGACTTGAACTGTAAAGACACCATTGGATATCGTGAAACTTTCTATCTATTTTTACGTAGGCAATTTATGGTTCAATGTTTCCAGTATTTGATCATTATTGGTAAACCTGCTACCCTGTCACCCGCTCTTGACCCTAACTGTAGCTTTCATGTGATAAATCTGAGTATGTTCTTTGCGTAACATTGTCACTTTCCAGGACTACTGGCTGACCTTGCTCTACAAGAGACTGGTTGGGAATAAAGTGTTATCTGTGCAGACCAACTCAACCAACAGTTTCAGGGTCTACGCACATTGTGCCAAACAGAAAAGGTACACAGTTGGGATGTGCTGATGGGGTAGTCAGTATGCAGGAGACAAATATTTATGTTTCAGTCACTTCCTCTCTATATTCAATCATCAGCATCTAGAACATCTAACATAACTGCACTGTCATCACACATTTTCATGAGGTGCTTGTAATTTAATGACTTCGAATTCTGATGTGCTTAACTATATAAACCATTTTTTGTCCAACAATGTTCCACATCTTTTGTTCACAGCGTGTACAACTACAAGCCGGGTAGTGTTGTAGTCTACATCGTCAACGTCAACATCTACACCACCGTCGTCACCTTCCCACAATTCCAAAAGAATATGGATCTCTTCTGGCTTAGACCAGAGTTCATAGAGCTTACTTCAAGGCGAGTATACGGATACGTGATGTCACAAAGAAACTATTTAGAACACTTTAAACACTTTGTAACAAAGGCTAACGTCGGTCGGGTTTGCCAATATTTCATGCCATAGAGATAAAAATAATAATAATAACACCTAACAATAACGCTTCGTCCTTGCCTTTACATTATGCGCTACATAGATAAACGTGACCTATAATGTCACGTTCATTTTATTAACCATTGTATTCCGAATAGCTGATGTGTTGTCGTCGTTTGGGAAGTGGTTGGCGTCTTATTGGCACAGATATACCGTTTGATATATGACACTGACATTGTAATTTCAGGAATGTGACACTAAATGGTAAACGACTGGATTATGTGAACAACACCATCCCTGACATGCCCCCTCAAAAGGCCTATGGCGGGCTCCTCATGCTGCCAGCAAGGACCTTCGGGTTTGCTGTGTTTCCTGATGCGGATGTTGATATCTGCAAGTGATGCTGACTGGTATTAATTGTAATGTAGATTACATTAAACCAATGTTACATTACAAATCTTTCAAATTTTCCTTTGTAGTTAGCATTCTGCACTCGTGCACATTTTATATATAATGATTACAGAAATAGACAAAACTAGACAAGTACTGGAGGCACATATGTTAAAAAACAACACATACACTTAAAGTATACAGAATCCGCTTTCAATAAATGCCACAGCCCCATCAACACAATGTCCGCTTTGAATAGGATGCAAGGAAGAGTGGTCCTGGAGAATGACACCTTACGTCCTAGGTTTGTTTGTTGTTTAACGCCGCACTCAGCAGTATTCCAGCTGTATGACGGCGGTCTGTAAATAATCGAGTCTGGACCAGACAAAGCAGTGATTGACATTATGAACATCGATCCATGCAATTGGGATCGATGACATGTTTCAACCAAGTCAGTGAGCCTGACCACTCGATTCCGTTAGTCTTACGGCAAGCAAAGTCGCCTTTCACGGCAGGCATGGGTTGCTGAAGACCTATTCTACCCCGGTTATCACGGGTCATGCGAAAAGGTCAGCGTATCCTGCTCCACTAGTGTCATCCACAATGAGCAGTTCATTTCTGATTTAAAAATCCCATCATCGAACTGAAGTAAACCAGTTGTTTTATCAGTTTATCAGCAGTTTGTCATTGACTCGAGGTCAGTCGTTGCTGAAGACCTATTCTAACCCGGATCTTCTCGGGTTAACGTCCTAGGTGACAGTGTCCAAAGGTATCAATGCCAGATGTTAGGAATTGATATCTGGCTATAAGTTTTGCTTTCTACAATGGTTTCCGGTACACACAAGCCTACCCGTTTTAACATGTGCCTTCGCCATGAAGCCAACGCTTCGATTATTACGCATCTATCACATGGCATAGAATTGGCTATCACAGCTAAATATTTCCATTTAGTACTGTTTATTATTACCCTAATATATGCACTGTGATCATTGCATGTGTTATGCACACGGTCGTATTTACAATATCTCTCACAGGAAAAAAAATGCAGTTTCCGGTATCCGGATACCTGCCGGATACCACCGGACACTTACCCAAAACGTGTCCGGGTATCCGGTGGCAGATACCTTGCCGGATACCAGATCTGTGGTATCCGGCATGGACACCTCACCTGAAAGTATGCCACCTGGAATCCGGGTATCCGGCACCGGATACCTCACCGGATACCTCAATCTGGGTGTCCAAGGATCCGCACCGGATACCAAGAATCCGGCACCGGATACCTCATTCTGAGTTTCAAAAAACATGTCACAATTTGGGGGTGCATTTTGTTCAATTAAGTGTGAAACACCTAAATATATATTGGAAACTAACCATGAAAATTGAACATTGCTGAAGGTATCCGGCAGGTATCCGGCAGGTTTCCGGATGCAATTTTTCGAGATGTCTTATTTCTGGTAAATAATGTTAGCCTGGGCATATCAGATAGCTGTAGTAATATTCTGTGTCATTTTAGTTGTAAATATCCCCTTAAAGTTGAGATCTATGGGCATGTACTTTTGGAGAAGACAATTGTTTTCAATTTCAACTATAATTCTTTTTAGATGTTAAGCTGTTTAATGAACAAACATCAGTTCTAATACATGTATGAGGATATCCTTAAATTTCATGTTCAGACTTCCAGATTATTCTGAGTGAAAGTATAAACTCATAGACTGTGTGCTCACTTGGACCTTTGGTCCTAGTGAGATGATAATATGATTATTTGTAAAGGTACAAGTACTTGTTATGAGCATACCAGATTCATTTAAGTTTGAAACACAATATGCCTCACACTGAGGGTGACAGATTTCATCACACTACAGAGAGCTGTTCCTCAGTCACTGAACATTTTTACTGAAAGACATTGAAAGCTAATTTGACCTTCAATATCAGTTGCGACTATTTCAAAAACAATTGTAAAGTGCTTCATTCAGTGTAATATTGACAAACATATGACAATGAAATACAACTATATGTATAAGAGTTATTTAGACTTCTGCAGGAAAAGGCACATTAGAGAACAAGAGTCATCAGAAAGATGACATATCCCCCCCGGCAGCTGTCTGTCAAGTAACCACTAGTGCAATTCTGTATGTAATGAGTCAACAGTTGAATGTTCTTTAAGAAGCATACATTGTTTACCCACAAAAGAACCACCATGGTCGCATCCATATGAATGCCAAGTTTCGAACAAATACATTGAATGTTTTTCGAATTCTGCCCCAGAAATGAACCTCATCCCCAATTGAGTCTATGTCCAACTTCATTCCATAAAAAAATAAAAAAATAAAAATTAGAAAAATCCCAAATTTGAAAGGCAACACTTCAGTATGTGCATGATAGCTTTGCCAAGTTTCGATCAAATACACTGAATGGTTTTCAAATTCTGCCCCGGAAACAAACCCCATCCCCAATTGAGTCTATGTCCAACTTCATTCCATAAAAATTTAAAAAAATAAAAATTAGAAAAATCCCAAAATATCAAAAGGCACCACTTCAGTATGTGCCTGATAAGAGTTGCCAAGTTTCGATCAAATACACTGAATGGTTTGGGAATCCTGCCCCGGAAAAGGGAATGATTACGGACGGACATACAGGCTGATCACTATATCCCCCGTATTATATGCCGGGGGATAAAAAGTAAGTGTATGACCTGTTGCCAACTTCTATCCCTGCCCTAAGGAAGAGTTTGGCCATTAACATTTTTTTTGTCTGGCTGTGACATTGACCTTTGACATAGCAGATCAATGTGTTATTCCAAAGATGTCCAAGCAATGCATGGTTTTATACGATAACTGTGGCTATCAAACTGAGGCAAAATATTGGAAAATCCCCATTTACACAGCTGGCTAAAGAAACAAACAACAAACAAATTATCAATTTCTTTTATTTTTATGCATATATCACACATTGAACAGTGTTCACATAATGGTTCCTGATGCAGTATGCACTTGCCTCCTATTCTTCAATACTCATAACAGAGCGGGATAACTGTTCGCTTGAAAGCATCAGCAGACCATGCTCACCAGTTCAGAGTTACTTGCCCTCAAACATCCTTTTCCTTCTATATTGCCATGGAAAAACAGGAACCAGGATGAGGGGAGGCCAGATGGGCTCTATCCCTGTTGCATTGTGTTAGTAGAATTGTGAACATTCTATTTGGTGTTTGGGTTCACATTTATAGACAAGTAGTCGCAAACATCATTCCTTTCAAGTGATTACCACATGGCCAAAGACAATAATTTCTTCAACGTCCTTGAAGGGTCCCACTCCGACTTGGCATTGGTTGGTCTTCTCACATTAGCCTGACCACCCTTTGTGAGTGTGTCCCAGTGTCAATTGGCATATTACTTCTCGGTAGGCTCCCATTGAAATAACAGGACTCTCCTCATCGCTGTCTGCCAATCACTTCGGATATCTGGAAGGGTCCTTCCAGACTGTCAACCTGTCATCCGGGTATCTCAAGCTGGATTTCAGTTTCTGCAAAATTAAGTATAAAGATTGTAGCAAAAGAAAAGAATTGTTGCAACATGTACTTACAGATAAAAGGCAGCAAATTCACTTAATTTATCATCTTTGAGTTTTGTTATATACCAAACATTTGAGATATATATTGTTCCATGCTGATGAGTTGAAACAATCATTAACTGACATCTCTTAAAAATGTTCCTAGCAATCTATGCTTGCCATACAAGCCAAAGTAAGAGATGAGGTAACAAGTGGGCTCATTGAAAGCTCGTAATCGTACCCAATAACGTAGGATGTTGTCCATAACAGTCATCATCGGTGCGTCTGGATTGAGCTCATAACATTAATCTCTGGTTTGTCTAGTTGAGAAGTGAGATTTGATTAATTTATAATCCTTGTCATTTAGCCGAACTATTGCTGGATGTGGTGTTAAATGAGTGAATTGGGTTTAACGCCTCTTTGAACAGTATTCCAGTTATATCACGGCATGTAAGCTTGATGTGGGAAGAAAGCCCGAAGTGATGCAGGTCTTACATGTTTACCACTTTGATGAAACCCACAAGCAAGTGTATGATGCTACCCTCGATTCAAACCCACGACCATCGGTTTCTGTCAAGCCCAAGAGATGCAACTATGCACAGCAAGTTGTAGTGCCTTTGATAATTAGGCCATCCATGCCAACAGGTGATAAAGAACAAGCAAACTGAAGAAATATTTGCAGAATAGCTACATGAACATGATGAACCAAACAGAATAATTTCAAATATTTACCACTCACTGCTACTCTTCTCTTGTTCCTCATTGCTTCCCCTTTTCCATTGATGCCGTGCAGATGACTGACTCATTCATTCATCCAGACATTCTGCAAACATAAGTAGCATTCACATTACAGAAATGTCCAAACTGTACATGCTGTACATTGAATTCAATTAAAAAGGCCCCAGTTGAGTTTCCAACTTAGAACTGTCCTTATTAAAATATTTCATCCCAAAAATTCAGAGATAAAACATAACCCCATATTAAACAACTGTCAAACAATTATTTGACAACAAAGCCAGGGTCATTCAACATACACTTTACATAAGGAATCACTTGTTGCAAAAAAGATCCTCGCCAAGGTCAGAGTCATTCCATGAAATATTGAATGATTAAGTTATGAAGCTTATACAAAACAAGGACATAACAGTGTAATTATAACAATATCCTAAGCGTAAAAAAAATAAAGTCTTTGGTGGCCATTATTGTAAATTATAATCAGTATTAGCATCCCACGAAAGTTTAGAGTTAATAATCGTTCCTAGATCTTGATATTTTTCTTCATTATCTATAAAAAAGCGGATCTAATTTGGATCATCTTGTTTTGACCACAAATCCATTACGCCCCTTATGCTAACAAACAGTTGACCATAATACTAAAAAAAGGACCCTTGGCGTTTACGGTAAAGTATGTAGAGCAGGAAAATATCTACATCAATCCGTTCCATAAGATCTCTGCACAGAAATCATAAGGCCTCGAAGCCCTGCTACGTACCTGGCAATGCAAATCGCCTTTCCAAATACTGTTGACTTCCGCGTTGTGGATGGCTGAGAGGAACTACGGCCGGCATTTCCGTGGTGAAGGTGAATGAGAACAATGTATCGATACACGAGGTAAGCTTATCGTAATCAAGCATCACAGTGTATATCGATACACGAGGTTTGTTTACATCCATGTTCTAAAATGGCGCCCTGGACCGTAGGGGAATATGGGTAAAATGGCTTGTTCCGGGTTAACACTAAGCTGGGCCCCGTCTCTAATATCACATTATTGTTTGGCGCAAGTTGACGACGCGCATAGGGAGCCGGGAACCAGGTTAACACGACATAAGCTGGTTCCCGGCTCTCTATGCGCGTCGTCAACTTGCGCCAAGTTATATTAGAGACGAGGCCCAGCTTATACACTGAACACGATCGGTCATTTCGTCAAAACTGGCCAAATATTGAGATTGCAGCTGAGGTCATGCTGGCAGCTGAAGTGACACATTAAGGTAAGGAATATGTGAATGTTACAATGATCACGTATTAAAGTAATTTACCACATGTAAGCCTGTCACATGTGACACATTAACTTTTATAGCCAACATGTAAGTAAATTTATAATTATATTTATATATGACAAGTAGCCTGTCTATCATATGTTAGTATTTGCTTATGTATATAATGTAGAAATATGTTTACTTTAACTGGATAATTTGTATGCTAATGTGACTCACTCTCTTATTTCATATACTCCCTTCACTCTGTGAGATGATTAATAGCCTCAACATATTTTTCCAGATGTGAAGAATCAAGAACAGCTTTAATAACAGGGAAGTTTTGCATCAGAGATCATCGTGAAGTGGAAGATAAGACATTTTAAGGGTATGAACATTTTCACTTGAACTAGTTGAACAATAACCATGATGACAACTTTATCATGGGGGAATTTTTGGTGGTGGGGTAGCCTAGCGGTTGAAGCGTTCACTCTTCGTGCTGAAGACCCAGGTTTGATTCCTGCCACATAGCTGCGATATTGCTGAGTGTGCGTTAAACATCAAACAAAGCTAACAGCTGCATACTTACTCACGTGGGGATTCCAGGTTGAAGTAAGTCCCCATCAACATGATCAACCTATGCTAGTTGTAAGAGATAACTTAATGGATCGGGTGATCAGGCTCGCTGACTTCGTTGATCCATGTCATTGTATCCCAATTGTGTGGATCGATGCTCATGATGTCAATCACTGGATAGACTGGTCAAAGACTTGATTATTTACAGACCGCCGTCATATAGCTGGAATATGGCTGAGTGCAGAGTTAAACAACAAACACCAACATGATTCTACAACCTGCTCTTGTGGATACCATTTTGAAGATCCTACACATAACTTCTTTTCGGGTCTTAACTATTGCAATATGTTCTACTACATGTGTTTTAAACATTTTTTTTTTATATAGTGAACTGGATTTGCAAACAAGCCGATGGCTTATCTAAATGATGCTGAAATACAAAATAAGTATTAATAAAATACTAATTCTATACTATTGCAAACTATCAGTTGAGCAATAATGTAATCATCTGATTATAAGTAGATAATGAAGGAGAAGTTCATATTGATTAAATCTACCAGATTCTGAGATAAATGCACGTATTGATTGATTTATTTCATTGTTTTCCTGTACATAATTTTCAACAATTCCTTATAAAGCTTTCTTATATCATATCCATGCTGTATAATAATACCTATTATTTCTAATAATAGCATAATTTGGACACACAAATAAGTAATGAATGGTATTTTTATAACAGGTCCCACACATGCGGGATAGGTCATTTGACATGAATCAGTTTTATGTGAATTTAAATCACTACAAGCTGATCTGAGTCATGAAAGGATATACCTTCGATTCTGTGAAAATGGAAATGCTAAAACATCTCCCAATATTAACCATGCTATTACAGAATCTGTTCACTTGTTTTTGTATGTAAAATATTTTTGAACGATTACATCCATCTAATGATTGTATGTGTGATATGCCAGTAGAGGTATATGTGTACAAGCATGTGCATACACGTAAACAAATTATGTTTGTTTGGCTAGGTACCAGTATATGAATAGGTTGTTTTGTGCGACTTGTATATTAGCATCATCATAGTTTCAACAGACAGTTTATGTATATCAAATGTTAAATGTCTTTGTAGGGAGAATTGAATATCAAAACTGTCATTATTTTATTACTTATGAGTAGAACTTGTTAAGTATCTGGCATGATACATTTCCTTGGTCCACAGACACATGTTACCAGTAAACTGACTTGAAAAGTAGCATAACAGTCAGTGTGGTTGGAAACTAACTAAGCCGTCACTACTCAATTAAGTAATTAACAGACAATTGCAAGTGATAATACCCACCTGACACTAATTGCCCTGTTAATCCCTAATCCACCATGAGTTGACATTGAGCTCATCTTGCTAATGAGCTGTTGTGAGCGTAACGAGATGATAAACATCAAAGGTGGGGCAGGCTTTGATCAAGTGTTCTGTAGAAGAGATTATGTCACTTGTTTAATGTTTATTTAGGATTAGCTACATCCCTTGATGCGACCAAGACCATACTTGAGATTATCAGACAGTTTGTCTGGATACAACCTGATGTCTCAACTGTACTTATTGGATTCTGCCTTGTAGCAAACTATGTGTGTGACAAGGACTTTGACCACTCTGTGCAGATGCATAACAATGCATAATGAACTTTGGGTATGATTCAATTATGTCACACAAGTCAAAGATGGGTTCCACTGTATTTAGAAACAGACGATAGATGGAATACTGTGTAACTTTATAACAATCAAATGAGTATTCAAAAAGGAATACACATATATTTACATTTACCCTTGAAAAGTTCCAAAACCAAATAGAACTACTTAAATTATGATTACACTTGACCAATATATTTGGCAGTTTTTGCCGTTATTGTAAATCTTAATTAAAGATAAATGATAAAAATATGATAATGCATATCACACACAAGTGTGTATTATACGCAAATAAATAAGTCTTGTATACATAGATTAATTGGAAAGGGTGCTAATTGGGATTGTTCACTAGCCAATATATTAGCAAATATTCCCATGGGCGCTTATTAGAGCGAGGCGCTTATTACGTCAAATACTTTAGTTCTGTTTTTATGTATAAGAACCTATTTTATGCAATTTGCATTGCCTTGTTTACCTTTCCTTATGTTTTGGTGTAATGCAAACATTTGAGAAAAATTCAGGTGAGCCTGCCTTATGGCACTACAGGAATTGTTTTCAGAAGATCAATTACAATTTTGTATTTTCTGTAAAATTTACTGTTTGCTATGGCTTTTTTACATTGGTTAACATGGTTTGGTTAACAGTTGCTTGATAAATTGTCATTACCTTATTCTTTGAGAAACCAACTTTTTACCCTTTGTCAATATATGTGTGTTTCTTATATTTTTAATAACAAGCTTTTAAAGATGTTATAAATTGTTTCAGGCACCTGAATTTCACAATGACACCAGATCAGACAAGTCATACAAAGGACTCTCCGGATGATGAATAATCCTCCCCAGAACAACTAACAGGTTCACCTCAGAAAGTGATGATTCTGAATGAATAATGCCACATCAGTGTGATTCTGTAGGTTGTTTTATTACGACATTAATCAAGTCTAAAGGAATTAATACCACAGCAGTGAGACTGTTTATGTGGTGTACACTGAAGCTGACTATACAAATCTGAATGACTTTTGTGGTTTACTGCACAAACATAATTGACTTTAGATATTCTTCTACCTTGAAATTCTTCTGGGATTTGACTAATTTGTTTATTTAGAAAATGGCATTGAAGCATCTGTTTCTGTTTTTGAATGTTCTTGCAAACACCTCTGGTTACTGAACCAATGAAATGTCATAAAATCAATAAATATGATTTTTTATCTTAACAAATTTTTTGTTTTGCTTCTTTAAAGAAATATGATATTGATCATTCATAACATAGGTGCTAACATATATCAAATATACTAATGCCCTGAATGTTTTCCTACAATTAATACAGCTCACTGAACGAAGTTTTTAGTTCCATGTCAGTAGAAAAGTTACATTGATATTTTTATGTACCAGTACTTTATGAGGTGTTTTCTGTGGATGCCATTAGTCTTATGCACCCATTTGGGTTAATGATATTCTGTTTCGAACTTCAATGAAACTCGTCTGTCAAGATGTAACAAGTATTGATACAGTTCCAAAATAAACTTTTAATCTCACCAGGAACAAAGGCCCAAGTGAGCACATAGCCAATGACTTTCATTTTTTTGTCAGAGTGAGTATGGTGTTATGCCTTTTTATGAGCAAAATTCCAACAATATCATGATGGGTGACACCAAGCAATGTACTGATGTGGTGAATCGAATGCTTCAACCACTAGGCTAGAACAAACTGGGAATATGAAGATGAAATGTAAGGATACCATCATACCAGGACTGAATGCTTTTCATTTAATACGCTGAACATCTAAATTGAAATATATATGAACTTGAAAAATGTTTTCACCAAAAGTACATGCCCATAGATCTCAACTTCAAGGGGATATTTACAACTAAAATAGCACAGAATATTACTACAGCTATCTGCTATGCCCAGGCTAACATTATTTACTAGGAGAAAGACATCTCGAAAAATTGCATCCGGATACCTGCCGGATACCTGCCGGATACCTTCAGCAATGTTCAATTTTCGTGGTTAGTTTCCAATATATTTTTAGGTGTTTCACACTTAATTGAACAAAATGCACCCCCCAAATTGAGACATGTTTTTTGAAACTCAGAATGAGGTATCCGGTGCCGGATTCCTGGACACCCAGATTGAGGTATCCGGTGAGGTATCCGGTGCCGGATACCCGGATTCCAGGTGACATACTTTCCGGTGAGGTGTCCATGCCGGATACCACAGATCTGATATCCGGCAAGGTATCTGCCACCGGATACCCGGACGCGTTTTGGGTAAGTGTCCGGTGGTATCCGGCAGGTATCCGGATACCGGAAACTGCATTTTT